GGACCAACTAAGCATGTTTGGGTTCAAGGTTGTGAGTGGAAGTGTAATGTTATAGTGTGTGTGTGTCAAACTAACCAAGACCACACCACCCAGAGCTAACCCTAGGGCCAAGCAATCCTATGGGGACTCCCCTTGAGCTCCCCCATATTGGCCCCACCTACTAAGTGTTAGAGGTTAGGACCAATATGTGGAACTTCAAGTTGAGCAAAGAAGAGTTTAGAGCTTCTAATGTTGAGGGTTTCGTTTCTAGTCCTTTAGGAATAGTCAACTGGAAAGTCCTATGGCTAGACCCTAGGCTACTAAGGAGGAAAAATTAGACCTCAACCAAAAGTGAGATCAGCATGGAGATGTTTTGTGATTTTCCAAAGTCAGAAGGCGTCTCTACGCCTGTAACCCTAATTTCTAAGTTGGGATGGTTATATTTCTTAAAATAATCATATAAATTAAAATATAAATCAAAAAATTATGGGACTTATTTTGGTAGGTTCTCTGTGTTCAGATGACTTTTGAAAAATTATAAATTAAGTTTTAACAGTTATGTAAATTATTATAATCAATAAACCCTAAAAATTCATATAAATTAAAAATAAATTTAAGATATTTCAAAGATTAGCAAAATCTTTTCCACACTATAAATAATGCTTCTTTTAACTCACTGTAAAATTTGAAATTTATTTGATTAATTTTTACCACTAAAGTTGATTTTTTCAAGTAAAATGACATTTTTTGCATTAAAATAATTTTAATAAATTAAATACAATTAGGAAAATTATGAAAAGTAGTTTTGTAAGTTCCTTGTCATCAGGGGAACTTAAGAAAAGTAAAAAAAAATTAATTAAACATTTTATTTTTAAGCCTTTTTTGAATTAAAATAATTAAAAATGATTAAAAAATTTTAAGAATTTTCAAATGCACAAAATTGTTCCTAATTACTTTATGATCACTTGGGACTCATTAGAATCTTTTTTTCTAATTTTTCTAAGTTAAATATAAATTTTTAAAGGATAAAACTGTATTTCCTCTAATTTTCCATTAAAATAATTATAATAAATAAATTAAAATTGAAAAAAATGAAATGTTTATTTATCTAAGTTCTCTGGACTTAGGGAGATTTAATTAAAATATAAAAATATTTTTTTTTAATTAAAACATATTTTTTATTTAATTGAATCATTAAAATCAATAAATAATTATAATAATTAAAATATGACTTGAAAAATTATAAATTTTTGCCCAAGTGGTCCTCTAACCTAGATGAACCTCTAATAATTTTTTCATGACCAAAAATATTATTTTGATTAGTTAAATAAACTAATATTGAAAATCTTATATTCTATGTTAAAATAATTATTTAAATTAAATAAAATTTTGAAAAATCATATTTTCTTCTCTGATATTTTAATTCACCCATGTGTGGGGTTCTCTAACAGTTTCAAAGTTAATTTAATTATATTTGATTAGTTATGAAGTGGAGAGCTCTAGAGGTAAAATGATAATTTTAGGTTTTGATGCCTTAATCAAAATTTAGGATTAACTAAAGGGGAAATGAGAAATTTTGATCCTAATAAACTCTTTTTGATGTTTGAAACATAATGGGTTAAAGGTAGAAACCAATTTGCTACCTTTTCATGAAAAGGGTAAAATTGTAATTTCATAAATTATCAGGACTCGGAAGTTAATCTAATTGGATAATTCTAAAGTTATGGGCTTAAGTTAGGAAGATAATAATTCACTTATTTTAAGCCCCTAATTGGTGATAGCATGATCTTTTGATAAGAATAAATTCCACTTGAATGAATATTTTGATAATTAAAAATTTACCCATAAAAATTATTAAGGGCTTAGTAGTGAGCATGGCTTGATATTTGAACTTTTTTAATGAGGTTTAGAAAAGTTAATATAACTGATAATTAATACCTTTAAACTCTACAATCCCAACTTTAATGGTGGGTACAATATCTTTAATAACTTAAACTTACCTTATGGGCATCCACTTATATAACCCTTAAGTAAAATATCAAGTGACTGCCTGATTACCCCACTCTTAAGATAATCAAAATATAAGGTTCACTAAGGATAGGGTGAATTAATTCATTAAAACTAAATTTAAAATTTTGGATGATCAATTGAATAATATAATAGGTTCAAATGAACTCAAAACATTTTAAAAAGATTTAAGAAGTTGTTAGGGATTATTCCCAGTTGCTTTTATAACATTTTGGATATTTTGAAGGACAATTGGACTTATTATACTTTGTTCCAGAAAATCATCCATCAAAACCTTTAGGGACTCACCAAGTTATGACTTAGTACACCTTCATCTACCCTTGCAATTTATTTAAATGCCCTGCAAACTTATATATATGTGTTGAAAGTTCTAACATTTTAGTGGGAGCAGCGAGAAGAAGACAGGTACGTTTTTACAGTTTTATTTAATTTATATCATTTACTGTAATTTACTTTCGCTTTAAAACATTATACATGTTTGGTTGTAAACTTTACTTCACATGCAAACAAAACAAACTTTCTAACATCAATCAACTCTCTTACAAAATTAATCAACATTTTCAAAACCAAAACAAAAAGAAAAACAACTTTATTATACGTCCTTTTGAATTTATGGGAGTCCCTCGGAATGAGGTAACCCACAGTTGCTAACGAGGTCTCTCCAGTTTAAATGGGTCTAACAACTCGTTTAAACTAAGAAAATTCAAAAGAAAATAGTGGTACCGGAACGAGAGAATCGTGAGATCCTAACCGGTGTCGCTCTAATCAACTTTAACCCCCCCCCCCCCCAATTTTGCAAAAAACACTTGAACAATAACAAAACTTGACACAAAAATTGCAAAACCTTAAACCTGAAAACTCTAGAGCTAGTGCAACAAAGAGCTCGAAGCAGGATGCAATTGGACAGATGAAAATCTACAAAAATAAATGAGTCTGCTCCAAGAAAACTTTCTTTTCCCTAGAATTAAATAACAAGCATAAGATTTTGAAATTGTTTACCTAGTGCGACATAAATTCTCAACTCATCTTTAGGCTTTTGCAAAATCATGTTGTGCAATTTAAGTCCTAACTCGTCTTAGGATTCTGAGGTTGTCGTTTGTCACGACCTAAATCCTCATATCTTTCAAGCTATTTGTGTGATCGTTTACACAAATATAAGCTCTAACTAAAAAAAATTGGCAGAATGAAACACTTGATAATTTCTTTCTCGAAATTGAAGTCAAACCATAGGATAATTTGGGAAGTCACCGAGGTTCTCCTCAGGATCTGTGACAACCCCTAATTTCTCTTCCTTTGGATTCTATAATAAATGTTCCAGATTCGAGTTTCTCCCTTTTACACTCTTGGTCTGACTTTTGAAAAGTCTTATCCTTTGAAATTCTTGAAGACAATGATTCTTGATCTAGATCGAGAGTTTTCTTAAGTGACTTCAGTCATTTAAGATGTAAATTGACTATAGGGGGTTGCCTCTATAGGGAGCTTTAAGAATCCAGGTAATATAAATCATATCTAATATTCTATATTAGGTAGAGAAAATTTGTCGGCTTATATAAATGGTTCGCAGATCAAACGGATGTCATAAATTCTGTAGTTTATTTAATCGAGTCTCACTATTAAGTGATGTATCTATTCCTCGGAATAGGTGTATTACTTGTTGTGTTGTGCTCGTTTATTTAAACTATTGTTTGTATGAGATCAGTTTGGTTTCATATTTTTAAAATTAAAAATATTATTTTTTTTAATTCTAAAGTATAAATATAAATATAAATTAAATTTAACATTTTTTAAAATCAAGCTTCAGGATACACATTCTAGCGACCGACAATTTCTGAAACCACATTTTTGTCGGCCGATAGGTGTCTATTAAAAGAGACCAGCTGGATTCCTCAAGAATTGTGCGATCATATTTTTGATGTACAACTATAGATAACTTACCATTATGTCTGTACTTACTATGTTGTATCAATAATTTTTCTACTATTATATATTTCATTCTCAAACCATGTTAGAATCAAAATTGAACTATCGCTGAACCTCTTCTGAATAATCTTTAAATCATGTTCGAATAATCTTTGAATCATTTTCTCTGTTTGAAAAGTGATCAAACATTATTCAAATCATATTTAAACTTTCTTGAAGTATGACTGGTCTAACTATGTTTCGAAAATGGTTCTAATTATCAACCATGGGCTCAAATGCCAAAAAATAAATAAATAAAATAATGTGTCCAATGTTGCTACAAAATGATTTGATGTATTATTTTGTTTCTTGAGTAAAACTTCAAATAAGTTATCAACGGTTCAAAACGAGGGTATTTTCGTTCAAAAAGGAAGTATGGAACTAAATTTTTAGGAAAGCAAACAACATCCATATTTCTCTAAATTTTTCTATCATGTAGTACATAAAATTCAAATTTCCTATTTCATGCGACACTACATTGGAAAATAAAATTGTTGGCAACTCATCAAAAATATAAAATAAAGAAAATGAAAATCATGTATTTAACTTGCCCTCTGTATATGGAGTGGCCCGCCCGTTTTAAAATTAGTGGTAGTCATGATCCATCAACCTAAAAGCATGGGTATTATGTTTTTCCAAATTAGAAGGTTCATTTAATCATCTTTAATTTTATATAATGCCTCGATTTGCTAGAAAGCAAAAAATAATAATTTTTTATTAAGAAAAAAATCAATTAGTGTTTTATTATTATTATTTGATTAAGAACATCGTATGGACTTGTCAAAAACATAGACTAAATGTTGATCGATGGATCAAAATATGGTTTAGGAGAAGATTGGGGTTCCGAATCAAGGAAAAAAGAGCAAAGTAAATAAAATACATCAAGTGGATATGCTATTTTGGCTAAGAAAATTTTTATGTTACATTTAGGTGCAACCAACATATAATTCTCTTTTTACAGATTTGACATATGAGCGAAACAACTAAAACAGTTCCTTCCTGATTTGCAATCAAAAGTGTAAAATGATTAAATGTTTTAAGAAGCAACGCTCCATATGTTTTGCCTTAAATTGTTTAAAATCACATCATAGGAATACAAATATGATGTCTAAATCCTGATCTCTCCCTCTTCCAAGTCATGATCATTTGCTGAAACTATAATCTTAGCAATTACCTGATCATCGAAATCATCATCTTTGAGGAATAAAGCCAACTGTCTCGAAGCATAGAACAACATGCTTTGACAACCGAACCCCTTCAATTCTTTCACAGACTCATTGAAATCATCAAATTGAATGGTTGCTTTTCATCTGTGTAAATATAGAGAAATGGACATTCAGTATCAATGAAATTGAAGTTTTTTTAAAATTTGATGAATTTAATTACTATTGTATTACGTTCTGCAGAGGGAACCATGATGCAAATAGAAAATAAATAACCTTTTCAAAGACTAGATGAGATTCTTCTCTTTGTTTTTTAATCCCCATCCTTCGCTGAAATTTTGCCTTCTCCATGGTAGATTCAAGAGCTACGACTTTTGCTCAGTCCCTAATCCACATAAAATTTAAGATTTTCTATATAAATAATTAATCATCATATTTTTTTCTTACGTAAAAGATAAATATTTGATGCTTATACCAACTTAAGAAATAATGCGGGTTCTGCCCAGTATATATTTATATATATCATAGGTGGATTAGACATCCGTATTTAGTGCAACAAGCCACCAACAAGTTGGTTTTCCTGATCACAGAAGAATAGCTATGCAAACGCATAATGGTCTTCTAGCCAGCATATCATAAAATGAAATATGAATATATTTATATAACTAGAAATTATAATGCATATAAATATATAATAGATTGACACTTCTATTGTCTGAAAAAAAAAAATCAACAAACAGAATCTTAACTTACACTTATTATGTTCGTTTATAGATTTTGACTTTTGTTGTGGCATCTAAAATTGCCTGGCGCACTTAACGCAATAATGATTTGTGGTTGTTGTTGTTGTGGCATTCTAAATGCACGATTCTTTTCATCCTAAACGGTCCATTGATAAGTTTAATTAGAACATAGCACCATTGTCTTCTTAATTTTTTTGTTTTAAAAAGACTATGTTGTATATATTATCAAACATATAATAAAGGTGAGTGTGCATATAATATTTTGCTGCTGTAATTCTGCACTCCATTTTGTTTCAATAAAACGGTTATTTACCTTAACAGCATGGACGACTTGCAATGATCACATCGGTTTAGGCTTATAAGGGGATCAACGGAACCTACAATTAATATAAATAAATGAAAACAAAAAAACTTATTAACAATCTGAGTTTTTATTAATTCATAATAAAGCAGGAAAATTATCCTATTCAAAATTTATGGAGAAAAAAAAATAAAAATTACTGGCACGAGGAAATCCTTTATTGCCAGTAGTACATGTTTTTTTAGGTTGAGCTCTATGCTGAGGATTCTTATTGTGAGCATTAACCATATCTATCAATTCAAAATAACAACTGACAACATCACTAATTATAAATCATCAAAATGAAATATAAATTAAATAATCATGAAAAATAAAATATTTTAAGTCAATTTTTGAAGGGTTTTCGCAAATATATGTTTCTTACGGTTTCGAGTTGAACAACCGGCTTTCTTTTGCGGACGAATTGAGTTTTTGGAATCCCATTGAACCTGATGTAGGAAAAAAAATTATGATGATTTTATTAGATGAAACAAGACCAAAATAAACGAAGTAATCATTAATATTGGGGACTTACAGTGTTGGAGGTTTTAAGATCCTTTGAAATTTTCTTGAGACATGTTGAGCCTTTAGCCTTTGTAGCAGAAACGTCTGAATGGTTAACCTTTGTTGCAGCATCCACATTCTTCAGGTCTTCATTTTCTTCAGTTGATTTTCTTTTTCTGCTTGTATGAATATATTTTTGCATTAAGGAACAATCGTTATTATGCGGATTTTTGCAGTTTCGTTCTTCTCTTGTGAGAGCACCTTCAACTCTTTCAATGAGCGATCTAGCTTGAGCGAGTTCTCTCAAAAGCTTTCTTTTCAGCAAAATCTTGTCAGCGATGGACATAGATTTTAAGTTATAGAAACAAAAACCCTCACTTTCAAGATCAAACTTCTTTCCTTCGGCTTTCATGATTCGAGACATCTTTGAATTTTGTTGCTTCACAAAAAACTAAGAAAAATGTAAATGGGTAAGATTATGAAAAAACTTCCAAAAATCCGAACTGAGGAGAAAGGAATTAGTATTTCGCTTCTTCTAACAAAGAGAGGCAAGAGGCTCACCTTTGAGTAAAGAGAGCGTGCGGCAAAATGTCGCCTGTGCCTTGGCTCTAATTCGACGAAAGTTAGACGAAGCTGATGATGGGAGAATAAGCCTAGGACTTAATCAATGACGCTGGGCCAGCTTTCCATATTTATCGGCTGAAGTACATGTCCGTTAAAATCCTAACTGAGTCGGGCTATAACAATGAGCAACGTGGCAAATGCTAAATTCAAAATATAATACCTCCGTCTATGATATTTATTATTATTCTCACTGATATATCACCCAATAAATAGCTGATCTAAAATTTGAATCAGAATGCATCTGAAATGCAACAAGTTCGAAGGGGAGAGAGCAAATCGACTGCCACAACTCAAAAAATAAAATAAGTTCTTAAAATGCACGAATTTTAGAGATCTGCCGCAGAATGTTAAGAAGGGTCCATGACCTTCGTTTAAATGCCATTATAAATATCGAATATAACCATTTTGAAGCCCTGCCGCCTAAAACGCAATTTGTTGCATTAGTTGGTTCAAATTCCGTGATTTCGATTTAATTTGGATGATTTAGAATTAGTCTCACATAACCTTTATCTAACAACACTCGTGAGTAATTTCTGGCTTGATTGGCTCAGTCAAAATTTAAGAATTTCAATAAATTTGAGACCAACTTTTTTTAGCTGTTAGTTTTCTTTTTTATTTGAAGTTCTAGCGATAGTAATGCAAAGGCCAATTTTGTACTGTTACAACCAGAATAGTTGATTAAGTTATTAGCGACCACTTGTGCACGAGGAAGTATTAGCTGCCCTTCTCTCTCTTTTCCGATTGGGTGGCCGCCGCTTCTTGTCATCTCCATCATAGGCGGATACTTCTCACTCTGCGGGAACATTTATATACATACCACTCAATTCTCTTGTATTTACATATCAAGCACCAAAGATTCAATTTTTACAACGTGCCACATTTCCTGTAAATGAAGAGTGTATTTCATTTTTAAAATTTAAAATAGTGTAAATTTTTTATGTGATATGAAATATTTGAGTGGTGTAAATGTAATAGTTAAAATTTGAATGTTAGAGGTGTAAATACATAAGAAATGAGTCATATGCATGTAATGGCTTTTTCACACTATTCCCTTGACAGTACTGTTGGCTTTCATTAAAAAAAAACCAACATTATATTTTCTTCCATTTAAACAGAATAAAAATTAACGTGTTGATGTGGAAAAAAATTTACATTAGTACTACACACGTAAAAATAACATGCGTAGTCAATCAAATCACGCCACGACATGTCGCGCGACAGAGCAAAAAAAACGGCGCAGTAACACGGGGAATATTCCCCCCTGTGTTATTCATGTGTTATTACGCGTTATTCATGTGTTATTGCGTGTTATTCATGTGTTATTGATGTGTTATTGTGTTATTATAACACCAAGAATATTCTCAG